AGCTAATCCTTAGTTTCTTTCCATGAATCATCTTCGACGATCTCTCCAACAAGATGAAATTTTTACCTTCTTTGAATCTAGTGTTTATTTATACGTTTCTTGTGCTGTCTCTGGCATGTCTTATTTGTATTAAATTCTTGTAATCTTAAAAAAATACAAATAAAAAAATAAATTCTTGTCGTCTTCCACCATTAGCAAGTTCCTTAAGAGCAGAACTGTTTTATTCACCTCTCTACCTCCTTTAGCAGAATGTCTTACATGATAGATGATAGAGCAAATATTAACTGAATTGTTGAATTAATGATTGTCACATGATATGATAATGAACCATATGATAATGATATGCTGAATGAGAATTAAAATATGTATGTATGTATAAGTGTATATACACGTTAGGTGTTTAGGGGTAGAGGATATTGCCTTTAGAGGTGAAATATGCATCACTTTAGAATTAAGTGGTAAAAAAATACACATGCAGAAAGTTAACAACATAACATTAAAAAATTTTTTTTTAAGATTTTATTTATTTATTTGAGAGAGAGGGAAAGAGACAACAAGCAGAAGGAGAGGGAGAAGCAGGCTTCCTGCAGAGCAGGGAGCCTGATGCGGGGCTCGATCCCAGGACCCTGGGATCATGACCTGAGCCCAAGGCAGACATTTAACGACTGAGCCACCCAGGCGCCCCAACATTTAAATTTTTATGTGCTAGGGCAGCAAAGATATTTTTGTGTTGGTATTCAAAAGAAGGAAATATATATTTAAGACATTGCCCTTATATTAAATAAAGGAAGAAAAATAATTTTCCTTTTTTCTCCAGCTTGAGATATAATTGACATAGAGCATTGTGTATGTTTAAGGTGTACAACATTGATTTGATACACTTCTATATTGCACAGTGATCACCACCATAGTATTATCTAACATCTCCATCCCATCACATAATTACCATTTTTTCCTGTGATGAGAACATTTAAGATCCACTCTCTTAGCAACGTTCGAGTACAGTTGACCCTTTAACAACATGGGCTTAAACTGGGTGGGTCCACTTATATGTAGATTTTTTTTTTTTTTTGATACAGTAGACTATTGTCAGTATATTTTCTTTCTTATGATTTTCTTAATATTTTCTTTTCCCTAGCTTACTTTATTGTAAGAATGCAGTATGTAATACATATAACATACAAAATATGTGTCATTTGACTGTTGATATTATCGGTAAGGCTTCTGGTCAACAGTAGGCTATTAGTAGTTAAATTTTGGGGAAGTCAAAAGATACGCGTAGATTTTCAACTGTGCAGAGGGCGTTGGTACCCTGAACCCCCACGTTGTTTAAGGTTCAACTATATTCTCTATTTGTAAAAACTACAACATCCTAGAGCAATATTAGAGTTTTAAAACTTTAACTAGGGAAGGGTTAAAAATGGAATTATCTCATCAGTTTGTGCAAGAAGCAAAGTAATGTAATGGAATATATTGACAATTATAATAAATCTAAACCAGCAGGTCCAGATGGTAGTTATCTTGGATAAGTTAAGAAATTGCCTAATGAATGTATTAAACTAATTATATTCCTTCTTCAAAAAATCATGAACTGTTAAGAAATAGAAAAAAATGCTGTTTTCTAGTTAAATGTGATAGGAATGGTGTAGTTATCTAATTTAGATGTGTAATTTCATAAAAAGGAAAGATAATGATTATCAAAAAGAGAATGGAAATAAACAACATATAAATTTTGTAATTTGTGTTTCTGATCTTGCCACAACGGCAGTTACTTTCGGGACTGCAGTGGGGGTTGGTATAATACGTTATTAGATGTTGAGTTGCAATCCAGCTCCTAGAAAAAACATTATACTGCACTCTTCTGTCAGTCTGGTTCATTTGTGTGTAAAAATTTAAAAAAATGGTTTAGTTATATGGAAATAAATGAAAACAACCCAGAGAAGAACAAGCAAAGGGTATTTATTCAGAGCTTGCAATAGCAAGGGAGTCAGACACCATCATGTGCATTTGGTAGAGACTCAAGGCAGGCAAGAGAGGGGGAAAGCTGTATAGTGCAAAAAAAGGGGAAGACTTCAGGTGTGCTCTGATCAGAGGTTGTTGGCATGGGGGAGCAGGAAGCGGGCTAACTATAATCTACAGGGAATCCTATGTGATTGGTTTGGGAAGCTTATTTGGCTTTCTCTGGTTGGTCCTTAATTGGAAATAAGGACAAAAATTAGGGATACTGGCAGTTACTTGACCATTCTGGCTCTATTGCCATAGAGGTTTTGGTTTGGTTTCCAAGACTGGTTGCTGCAGAGATTTGAGTCAGAGTTCTATTGGCATATAGGGTCTGGCCATTGTCCATTTGTATATTCAGACTCTCAGCCATATAAAAAATCTCATTACCATTAAAAATTAAAATCACAATGATATAAATTTCAGCCTTTAGTGCTATTCCTGTTCACATTCAGAAAAGTTTAGAACTAGGCTTAAGTGGGACCCTACCACATCAAACTCAAGAAAGGACTAGTACTTCTAAATCATTAAACACGTAGGATGCCTGAAATTTTGCTTGTGATTGTCGAGATACACACACACACACACACACACACACACACACACACTAGCACATCTCTCCAGCAGTACTTGGGAGAATCAGTGAATAAATCCTTGCAGCTTTGCCTCCTGAGCAGGCTATCGAGTAGCCCTAGTGCAAATAAATCTTTGCAATTTAGGTCAGCCCTCGAAACATTTGGTTTAGGGCTCATATCTGAAACCTAATCAATTTTTTTTTTTTTTGTCCACAGCAGCTTAACATATCACTTCTGTCCCATGGTTATGTTGGCTTTTCGTCAACAGTTTTAGATATTTTGCAGGGAGATTGAGATGCTCTCCAGAGTTCCCCAAATTGAACTACGTGTACCACAAAGTCTGTTTCTAAGTAAGGCCCTCTCAAGCACATCCTTCAAATTTGCTACCAATATGTCCAGAATCAGAGTAAACAGAAATTTAATTCCACTTATGTAGATATAATTCCCATTATAAACTTTTGGTTTTGGACAGCATCAGTTTTCAACAATGATACAGACCAAAGGTAGAAAAAGGCATTTCTGGAAAAACTAGCTAGTTGGGGAGCAGAGACAGAATAAAATATTTTAAAAGTAAATTAAATCTAGTCTTCAGGGAAATGTGAATCAATCCCACCAAGAGATAACCACTTCACACCCAGTAGGATGGCTATAATAAAAAAGTTAGATGATAACAAATGTTAGTGAGGACGTGGTGAAACCAGAATCCTTAACCCACTGCTGGTGGTAATATAAAATGGCTCAGCCAATATGGAACAGCAGTGTAGCAGTTCCTCAAAAGGCTACAAAGAGTTGTCAAACAAACATAGGATTACCCTCTGATCCAGCAATTCCACTCCTAGGTATATATTCAAGAGAAATGAAAACATATGTCCACACAAAAACTTGTACATGGATGTTCATAGAAGCATTATTCATAATAGCCAAAAAGTAGAAACAACCCAATGTCTACTAACTGATGAATGGACAAAATGTGATATATCCACACAATGAAATATTATTCAGCAATAAGGAATGAAGTACTGATTCATGCCACAATATGGATGAAAATTAGAAACATGCTAAGTGAAAGGAACCAGTCATGAAAGCCCAACATATGGTATGATTCCATTTATATGAAATGTCCAGAATAGGAAAATACACAGAGACAGAGGGTAGGTTAACGATTGCTTTTTTGAGGTAATAATGTTCTAAAACTGATTTTGGTGATAGTTGCACAACTTTGAATATATTAAAAATCACTGAAGTATATACTTCAGATAGATGAATTGTATGATATATGAATTACATTTCAATGAAGCTATTACAAAAAAATAAAATCACCAAAACATTAGAATAACTTAAAACCTACACATTTGGGTTCAAGTTACGGTCTTTGTGATTCTTAGGTTGTTTTTTTAAACCTCATGAGATTATTTTTAGAGGGAAAGGCTGCATAGCATTGTTGTTAAAGAGCAAAGGCTTTGGAATCAGACCTGGATCAACTTGTGGCTTCAACACTTTAAAGCTGTTTGTCTTTGAACAAATTATCTCACCTCTGGAAGTCTCAGTTTCCTAGACTGTTGGAAATAATAATACCAATCTCTTAAGGGTATTGTTAGAGGCCCATAGTTAAGTGTGCAATAAGTGGTAGCCACACTTGATGATAAAACAATTGACTTCTATGGGTGTGGTTATCTGAAACAGGGATAAACAAGTCTTCTGTGAACAGGGCACAGTGCGGAATGATTGCAATGCAGAGAAGATATTTCAACAAATACGTACTGAGTGGCAGGCACTCAGTAGAGGGGTGTGGGGGTGGGGGTTGGGGGTGAAATAAGATGGATCTCTTTCTTTTCTTCTTTTTTTTTTTTTTTAAAGATTTTATTTATTTGACAGAGAGAGCACAAGCAGAGGGGGAGAGAGGGAGAAGCAGGCTCCCTGCTGAGCAAGGGGCCCGATGTGGGACTCGATCCCAGGACTCTGGGATCATGACCCGGGCCGAAGGCAGCTGCTTAACTGACTGAGCCACCAGGCGTCCCAAGATGGATCTCTTTCAATCCCCAGGAATTTACTGTCTGCTAGGTGACACTGAGGTAGTGGGCACACCTCTCTGTACCGATTATTTTAATATTAATATGGTTTTAAGATAGGAGTTTTTATCCAATATACAGGAAAAATAGGAGAGGCCAATGAAAGGAATTCATAGGAGGCTACACTGGGGAAGATGACACTCGAGCTGAGTATTGAAGAATGAGAAAATTTTGCTTGAAAAAGGCCAGAAGGGCTTCTGTGGCAGCAGAAACAGTGCAAGCAAATAAATGCCTAAAAAGCCCATTTATAGGTCAGCTGTCAAGTTTACATCTCCTAACTTCCAAGCTTCTATATTAACTGCAAATTCAGAACCTTCACTTGTAAGGCTCATACACTTCTTAAACTCTCCCCCACAACATGGCCCACTCACAACTTTTCCCTTCTCGGATGATGGCAACACCATTCTTCTGGTTGCTCATGCCAGAATCCTTGGAGTTATTCTCAGCTACTTTTTGTTTCATCCCCACAACCAACTTGTCAGGAATACCCTTGGCTCTGCCGTCAAAATGTATGCAGGATCTGAGTTTTCTCAAACCTGTTACTGCTACCACCCTGGTCTGAGCCACTGTCAACTCCTGTCTGTTTCTACTTGTGCCCATCTACATTCTCTAGATAGCACCCAGAGTGACCCTTTTCAAATAAAAGTACGATCATAGTACTTCTCTGCTCAAAACTTCTATGGTTTGCATTTCACTCGGGATGAAAGCTGGGATCCTTGCAAGGGCCGACAAAACCCTCCCGTGGTTTTTGGCCTCACACCTTCCCTTGCCTTTCTGATTGCTTCCACTACTCCCCCTTGATTTCATTTGGCCCTCTGATTTTGTTTGGTCCAAGCAGTGGTTTATAGTTTTATTTTTCTCTTTGACTATGTACTATTGAAAAGGCAGGAACTATAAGTAGGCAGGTGTACCAGTTCCTTGCTCTACAAGCACCCATTGTCTGACTCCTTGCTTGCTCAAGCATTCACATACCTGCAGGACCCTGACAGGCCTTGGATGTCCCCTGCAGGGTAGGAGGCAAATGTGGAACCACTGAAGGTTTTAAGTAGGCCATCTTCGTATTTAGAGAGATTGTTTCGCTTTCAGCATGGGAAATGGATTTAAGGGGAACCCCACTGGAAGCAAGCAGTGGAAGAGGGAAAAGTTAAGGAACTTTTTATGACACTCCACATGGGAGCCTGTGCTTAGGGTATGGTTGTTCATGGGAGTGGAGAGGAGATTCCAGATTCCAGAAATACTTTACTGTAGAATTGGCAGGACCTTGTCTAAATATGGGATTTCTGAGTTGAGTTACCTGGTATATGAAGGTACCACTTACTGAACACGGGATATATGCAGAAAGATGAAATTTGAAGATAAGGAATGGGGGGAAATGTAGATTTCCTTTCGGATATTTTGATTTGGAAGCATCCAAGGATGAGCCACCACTGTGTACCTGCAGCAAGCAATTGGATTTAGGGTTCTCAGGAGCAGGGAGAGCCTGAAGTGGAAATCTGGACTAGAAATTTGAGTTGACTATGACTTTAATAAAAATCTTCTTTTTCTCCTTCCCCCTTCCCTCCCCCTCCTCTTAATTAGAAGTACCGTTTTTCTTTTTTCGAATTTCACTTTTTACTTCCATCATAACTTTTCCCGGAACACACACTACGGACATCGTCGATGTGAAAAGGCAGGAGCTGTAACAGATTGAAGCAAAAACGTGGGGGCAGATCTCGTTCCTAAAGCACACGAATGTTTGACTTCTGATGTAGGCATTTCCTACAGCTGGGGATGAGCTCAGGCGCTGTGTGTGACTATGTCCTCCTTCCTTCCTTTTCAAGGAAACTCCTGAGGCCCGACTCCCCTTTCTTCCTCCTCTTCTCCGGACCAGCCCTTCGGGCCCTGTCTCCCGCACGCGCTCGCCGGCGGGTCATTTCTAACTAGCATTCACCGAGTTTCCTGGAAGGTGCGGCCACGGTCTCGATGCGCGGGAACAGGCCGGAGCCGCGGGCACCACAGGCACCAGGCCCGGGCGAGTCGGGTCTCTCTCCCGGGGAGGCCGCGCGGGTCCCCCGGCCCCTGGCGGCGGCGTCCGCCCCTGCCCCGGAGGAGGAGGACGGGCTGCGGCGGCCCGGGGCC